TAAAGAAACATTTTTGACACTTTGATTATGTAATTTTATAGATCCATAGTGTGTGTATTTTGTATAAAAAAATTAGAAACAAAACATGAGTAGAACAAGCGAAATGTGAATTTCAATCTTGTGCAAAAACTTTTCGATCACCCGTTACAAATTTTTAACGTCATACTATTTTCCTATTTATCATCTTTCGACTAGGATTAGATTAAGAAATAGTGAGATAAAAAAAAAAAAAAACTAATTCTCGAAACAAAAATTTCGAAAGTTAAAACACTTCACTAGCTGAAAGGTGTCCATTTAAAACAAAAGTATTCATGAATATGTCATTCGTACATAATTAACATTGACGTGTGGCTGTCTGTATGGGCCTAAGAGAAGAATTGCCCCCACACCCTTATAGAATTTATTGCTATATATCCTTTTGTATCTCAGCCTAGTCTAGATTAAGTAGGTCGAAATATTTTAATTGTAAAAATTTCTGTGAAATTCTTTAAATGACTTAGCCAAATGATTTCTTGGCCCTGTCTGCATATCTCTAATTATAATTGGCTAAGACTGTTGACGTAGAGCCCATGGTTGAGAAATGTGTAGAATGTGTTGATAGTAGAATACAAATAATCAATAAAAAGTATCTTCATTTTGGGAACGACTATCAGACACTCAGACGAAAACATTTCATTAAGATTAAGAGAATGATTCGGAAACATAATCAATAGACTTTAAGTCCGATGCCTTCTTTACTCTGACTTTCTTTCATTTGATAATAAATTGAATATCAGACTTTAGAGAAAAATCTTCAAAAATATTTCCTTTAATTACTAATAAAAACAAGAGCATTTCTCTCAGATGGTAAATACGAGCATTTTGTTGATCGAGTTTTTTGATAATAACACGTATAATAAAAACAAAATCTTTTAATTTCAGTATGAAAAAGATGAAACTGAATCACCTTCAACATTTGTTAAACCTGATGATTCTCTGACATTTGTCAATATTACCAGTCGACATACTCCAGTACAAAGTGTTATTGTAGCACCTATGCAATTAAATACTTTAAAACAATCTTCAACATCAGATCCTGTTCTTACTCGTCTTGAAAAAAATGGTTTTACAACATCATCAAATAGTCGACCACCAAGTGCAACTAATGTTAAACGATCTTCTGTAAGATAATGAAAACAAAAAAAAGATAGTCAATAATTTTTCTTTATTTTAAATTTTTATTGAATTTTAAAGGAAGATAAAGATCTCAAATGTATAAATGCTGCTCTAGAAATTGAACGAAATCGTCTTGTTGAATTTATTCAAACATTACAAAAACGTCTTGACAATGCTAATACACAACTTGTTGAACAAGAAAATAAATTAATTGAACAACGTAAAATGAATGTTCGTCTAGAAAAAGATATGGAAAAAGTTAAACTTGATTTAAATAATGTAAAAAATCGAACAGGTAAATTTTTTGTTTTTCGGAAAATTCTATTCATAAAAAGAAAAATCGTTATTTTTCTATAGTAAAAGGACGTGGAGCAATACCATCAGTACCAAAATCAGCATCTATACAATCAGATAATCATGAAACAATTGAAGAACTTGAAATACGTCTAACACTTAAAGCCGAAGAAAATGATGCACTAAAAAATGCACTTAAATCAATGTTAGATGCTAAAGAAGAAGATTTAAAATTATATAATGAAACAATACAATCAGTTAAAGATATTTTTCTACAAGGAATTCAACATTATAAACCTTTACAAACAACAAGAGGGTCAACATAAATTGTTTTCGCTGTCGAATTTTTTGGTGTTGATTGATTTTTGTCTTTGGTCGTACTTTGTACGATAGTTTTTTTTTTGACAGATATTGTATTAAGACAGTTTTAAAAAAAAATGGGTTTGTTTATGCTAATCAAAAGAAAATTAGCATTATATATATTTTGCGTATGTTGTGTTCATAATTGCACCTAAAATGGAATCATGAATAATATCGGCCAATAAAGAACAACATATAATTTTTATATTGTTCATTCATCAATATCAATAGTTGAATATGTGCATTGAGGGTTTCTCTATCAAAAAAATTCACTATTCATGAAAAGTGTGATAAATGCATAGAATGATAGTCCAATAGGATTTTTCACGCAAAGTGGAAAATCGTTTTCGCTTTTTTTTTGTTTGCGTAATCCAGAATACTCAAAAGAACTTCATTCTATATATTTAATTTTTTTTGTTTGAAAGTGCATATCAAGATACAGTGTAGTACAGAGTCCTTCTTTTTTTTAAATTTAGCTTTGCTTTTATTATATATGCTAATACTTATAAATAGACATTCATTTTTCGAGAATTTTTTTAGTCATTGAATTTTGTCATGTTTTTTCTCCGCAAT